CAGGCTACTTACACTGGCGACTAATTTTCTGTGAAGTACACATCTGCTCAGAGAAGGAGCTGTGTAGGGTCTGTCTCTGGACTGTTGAGTTACATTATACTTTCTTTGTAACTCATTGCCTGTTTGTCCTTGGCAGCCAACACAAGCCACACACTTGTAATAAGAAGTTGTTCCTTCCCACGCAGCAGAAAATGTTGTTTGCTGCGTCCTACTCAGGAGCAGATTGACATACCCGCTGGTGCCAGGAAGCTCTTCAACAGGGCAGGAGTTGCGAGACACATTTGTATGTCCTAGTGCCAGCACACAGCAAGTGAGGAGTCCAGCAGCATTCTCAGACACTGGGGGCATTTGCAGGTAAATGATTCATGGCTTTGGTTGTGACGCTCAATTTACTAACCAAGAAAATAAAGAGAAGGGGGTGTTTTATTTTCCTGAGACATAATAAACCCACTGGCTGTCCCTGCTCTCATTTTTGTGATTGCTTTGCTGAATGCAGTTGTTTCTATCACTCTTCAGTTATATCCTGGCATTTGCCAGTGGAGGCTATTGAAAGGAGGACCGACTGCAAACACATGTCGGTGGCTCAGGGGTCTTCAGTTCTGTAACTCACCCACCAGTAGTGAAAGAAGTCGCAGGCCTCTGGCAGTATGGATGGCTGGAGTTCCCGTTCCGTTCAAAACCGAGTGACCCCAAGCTCCTGGAAATGATCCTGATTATGGCTTCAGCAGAGTGCGCGGTCTCGGGATAGGTTTGCCGCTTGCACACAGGCTTTGGAAGAGGCCTCGGAAGTCCCATCTCCCCATCCCCTGGCAGGTTCAGCCATAGGTATCTCACAGCTGCCGTGCAACTCTTGCTTCTCTATTCCAAAGACTTGCTGTGACAGGCATTTCCCTGCAGACTGTTTCAGAGCTGCTGTGTCTGCTACTGGAAAGTAGCCCTAGACCACCAAGGTGGTTCAGAGAGATTATCCCTAAAATAATAACATTCCATTGTCTGTGTTGAAGGGATGGGCCTCATCACGAGGATGCCAGCGTTGGACACATACAGGATGTGCCTATGTCCTGCTCTGAGGTGGCAGTTTGTACTAAATTTCTACTTTTTACCTGAAAGCATTAGGATTTTTTGATCTCCAGTGAAAAAGGCCTTTAAATAGCTCCTTCCTTCCCCTTGTCTCCCAAAAGCAATAGAGAGGACTGGAATTGAGGGTAGGGAAGCGTATCTGTAGGCTTCTCCAAAAGAAACTACGGTTGAGACAGTCCTCAGCCTTGCCAACCCAATTATAAATTACTTTCTGGGCTCCCTAACATAGGAAGACTTAAAAATTGCCATGTTTGTAGATGGGATTAAGTTTCCTTCTTTGAGATGTTGCAAGTCCTGTTTTATAATCACATCTTTTAAAGCTAAGATTTCTGTCTTTCACCGTGGAATCTGGGATTCCTATGTAGTGACACAAAAATGCTGGTCTTTTTGGAGAAAACACCAGTTTGGGCAAGAATTTAGAATGCACGTGTTAAGGTCAGTAACAACGTGTCATTTAATGCCAAAGAACTTTGGGAGATGGAAACCCACCAGGAATTCTGTTTGGTGATAAGGAAACCAGGTACTGACACTGTAGGATTATACTTTGATTTAGGGAATGAGTTGAAGTGAGGTGTCAGCCATAGGTTTATGACCTGCAGTTCTCATTTAGTCATATATATTTTTTTCTGTAAGCCCTGCTGCAACTTAGCTTGATGGGGAGGTTCCAGGATGCCTGTTGGCAACGGCTTTCTCAATGGGTGGAAGAGACCTTTACTGTGTCGACCTGCATGTTCAACTGTCATGGACAGGAGGAAGGTGAAAAGCATGTCCTCTGCTCTAGAGCTGATTTCACAGCTGGAAAGAAGAGCTCTCACACACTAGTTTAGCACTTGCTTGGAAGCATCCTCTCTGTGACTGACAAGTGGCACAGTCGACGTTTGTACGTGCAATTGTTAAGAACAGAGAGGAGAGGCTGGCAAGATAATGGCACAATGTGAGAGAGTATTAGCAACCGGGGCACAGGAAAGTGTGAAAAGGATTATCTAAGATGGCAAGAATTCCTTTTGGAAGAAGCAAATTTGTCATTTGCCAGTGTGGAAGAATGAATGATTTGCCTGGGGGAAGATAAGGAGCGTGCAAAGAAGGATTCATTATGCAGAGAAGAGAGGGACAGATAGAGCTGGTGATTTTTGCCATTAATGGAATGGAATAATGGAATTAAGCGCATTAATTCACAGAGGAACCTGAACTATTCGTGATACGAGAAACGAGGCATGTGGATCACAGAAAGGCTTCAGAAGGACTGGAGGATGTTCTGAAGGTGAGCAAAAGCAGAGTTATCTCAAGACTGACACGTAAGAACAGCACCTGGTGAATTCCAGTAGCAGCTAGCATGCAAGTAGTTGCAGGGCTGTAAGTGACAGGCACCAGTCAAAATAGAATTGTCACCTCAAAGTCATGCCAGTTTTCTGTAGGATCCCATCCAACACCCTTTAAATCATTGGAAAGATTCCCGTTGGCTTCAGTCTGAATTTGGAAAGACTCCTGCTCACCTACACCCTAGCCAGAGCCCAGCTCCAGAGCGGACACCTCCCAGGCATGGCTCTCGCATGGAAGTGGCCAGGACTGAAAGCTGTCGGTGGCCCTCCCCATTCCCTTGGCAGCCCCTTCACAGCCAACACAGTGCTCTGCGCTTGCTCTACCACCTAGCCCCGAGGTGCTTTGATTTTGGGGATTAGGGTTAGGGGTTAGGAGTTTTTTAGGGGTTAATTTTAGGGTTAGAATTTAGGGTTAGGGTTACTTTTAGGGGTTAGATTTAGGGTCAGGCTTGGGGTTAGGGTTTGGGTTAAGGCTAGAGTTAGTTTCAATGGTTAGGGTTTAGGGTTCGGGGTTTTTTTTAAAAAAGATCGTAAAAGTTAATGAATAGTAAGAGATTTAATGGACACGATATCTGTCAGCTTTAGCAGATTATCTGCCGTCATTCCATGTGTCATTTTTAGACGGCAATGAGAGCTGGAAGCTAGGCAGTTTGCTGCACATAGGAGCAGATGTTTCATCTATCGCGAACAAGTTTTTTTCAGCAGAGTTGACCAAGGTACCACGTAGATTCCAGGAGACACAGAGGATATTTTAGCACAAGTCTGAACTGTCATTAAAGATGCCTGGGTTTGAGAATCCAGTCAGACATACAAGTGATACAAATCCAGGAGGAATTCCTGGTACTTTGGAAGACAGGCTCATCGAGAAGACATGGGTCCTGACATAAGTGAGAGAACTGTTGGTAGCATTCAGGAGATTTCATGGCAACCAGTTCATGCAGCCAGAAGTAGTCGGATGCACAAGCAGAAGAACAGCAAAGAAGTCAAGGAACAGATCAGAAGCTCCTAGACATGATGACGAACAATAAAAGTTACTAGCCTGATGCAGCTTGTAGGAGGAGCAGATGCCAGTCACACCAACTGACACTGGTAAGTGCATCACATATCATATCAGCCAGGCTGTAACTCTGCTGGCCTTAGCATGTGTTAAAACTACAGAGTACAGGATCTGATTTGGGAAAGAACTAACAGAAGAAAAGCAAAAGTGTATACATAAGCTCTTTGAGAAGCACAACAGAAACAATGAGTGGTTTGATAAAAAAGGAAGAGAGCCAGCACTGTTTAATCCAGAAAGACAGGGAAAGTGGGGGTGTCGTGACATTCTAAGGGTGGGCAAAGGGACATTGTGCAGAGTTTGGATAGAGAATCAGTAGTCATGAGGCATGGAATAAGCTCTGATGTGGTGCATCTTTCCTAGAGCTAGTAAAGAATAGACTGTATTTATCATACAGCTATGCTCGGTTAAAAAATTTTAAAAAATCTAAAAAAAAAACCAAAAAACCAAAAAACAACCCATCAGTTAAGTGACTTAATAATCACCCTGGTCATCCCAGATGAATTCACAGTTCTCTGACCTGAGCTGATGCTGCAAGGAAGTCTAGTTCTTGTTTCATGCGGGAGTAGCAAAGTTGGTGGGCTGTGAGACGCCGGGACTTGAGGCTGATGATGTGTCTGTGTCCAATCACTAGATTTCGAGTCGGTAGAAAGGAGCGGACAGAGCAGAAGCCTCCGGGTGCTGTAATTCATCGCAGCATTTAAACTGAGTGGCAGGATCTCTGATGGTGCAGCAGAGGTGGTAGGAATGTAGCTCTAGCAGCTGGAGTGCAGAGAGGAGAGGCCTGTTCGGAAGAACAGGATGCGCAAGTCTGGTTACCAAGAGGTGATAAGCATTGCCATTCATGTGATACAGCTTAGTGCCCAAGGATGCAGTGGCAAAGCCCAAGCCCCTGTGAGCGTCCACTGTGCTCTAGACATCTACACTCAGCGTTTCTGCAAATGTTTCTTAGAATAACTCTAAAAGTGTTCTTGCTGCGAGGTTTTTCCAAGAAAATACTTCTGTTCTGCTCTGAGCCAGCAAAAAGTAACAAAATCCAGCTTCCCAGAGTACAGGTGAGGGGACTGGCCACAGAATCCCCTTCTGCAAAGAAAGGGGAGTGGAGCCTGCTCACATGGAGGCAAAGAGAAGGGAAACGTTCATGGCAATCTTTGGAGGCTTTTGGAGAAAGCGCTGTCCTCCTGTCCACAGAACAACTGGAGATTGTTTGTGGAGACTCTCTTCTCTCATGAACAGAGAGTATTGTAAAAATAAGTCACTAAACACGTAGAGTGAATCTAGTACAGAAGCAGAATTGGAGTGACTAGGGAGAGAGAGAAAAACAGGAACTAGATGCCCACATGGGGACAAGCAAGAGGGTCCGCTGAAAGGAGGGACGAGGCACTCCCAACACCAACAGCTTCCAGCACCCATCTGCCTTTTTCACACTCCCCAGTGAATGCCTCAGCCTAGAACTCAGCAAGGTTAGGGGCGCGAGAGCCTCACCCTCATCTCTCTCTCTGACGGCAGCGAGTCTCCTCAGCCCCAGACGTGGGGAATGCAGCCAGTCACTGACCGGGCTCTGCAGAGGTGTGTAGAAAAGGCAGCTCTTGACTCAGTGCTTTAAATCTCAGGACTCCTTCCTCCAAGTCGATGCAACACTAAAGAAGGGGAGAGCTAGTTACTTGATGGGCATTTCAGATAGCAAATCTCACGATGTCTATGAGTGGGAAAAACGTGGATAACCATCAAACAACCCCACTTTGGGTTTGCAGAGACCTTACACTTCCCATCTCTGTCCCCCATGCGGCCTCCTTGCTCCTCTCCAAACCCTTCACAGGACGATTCCCCTCCCTTCCTCCTACGGCTCCCTCCGAGGTGATGTGCTCGCATCACTCAGCCATTCAGCCCAATGCTTTTCCTGCTTTCTGAGTCTCACACGGTTACAAATACTTGACAGGCAGGAGCAAGCTTGCTGCAGCCGGATTCTGAGCCACCCAGCAGCCAGGCTCAGCAGAGCACTAACACCGAGCGGAGCTGACAAAAGGAGAGGACTCCTTCCACCCATGTCCAGCTAAGTGTTGGACACTGAATGTAGTCGTGCAGCGTCATTTGGCTCAAAGTCAGGGCAGAGCTTGTTCACATCTGCCTTCAAAAGGCAACACAGATATAACTCGTGACACAGCGTGCCTTGCCTTTTCTAGTCTCCTCTTCAGTTTCCTCTTCCCGTTTGTGACTTGTATGGTCAGGAATACAAAAAATGGGAGATGTGATAGTCTCCTATTGGTTAATCCCTTTCTTAAAACCTTTAAGAAGGACTGGCAAGGAATCAGTGACTCAGAGCATACTGCAGCCAGCCAGTCAGCTGCACGACAAGCATTCCAAGTGGCACCCTAGAGGACCTGGCTGTAGGTATTTCTGATGCTTCCAGCAACCAAATCTTGGAGAACTTGTTGAGAGGAGCCCTGCAATAAGCAAGAAGCTGTTCCTTACCTTGAGAGACAACAGAGTCTGGAGACCAATGCAAAACTCCAGCATTTCATCATCTGAGAAGAGAGAAGAGACTGATGAGGCTCAAGCCTATATATACTGCTCCTCTAAAGAAACTGTGTCTCTCCTGAAAGAGGATGTGGAATATGAGAGCATCTGGTTCATAAACTTACATGGCTATGGTCTATTCAGTATAAAGTGAATAACAAATAGCAAGGAAAGTGATAAATTAAACACGCAAACATTAACAAGCAAGTGGTAATGGTGACAATAACAAAGACCAGCACTCTTCTGCCACTGACCGATGAGCCATTAAAGGAGCTACTTAGGCACAGCCCTGAAGAGGGGCAAAATGGACTTTGTAGCTGATAAGAGGAGGGAACCATGATTATCATGAGTATTACGAGATATTTGAGGGGGGTGGTGGCATTGTTTGAAACTTACTATGAGATATCAGAAGGGGCTTGTGGGATCGTGTAAAACTTACTATGGTCTATGCAGGGGAAGGGCCAAAGGCAAGAGAAGGCAAGCAGCAGGGTGGATCAGGGAAGAACAAGCATGGAGAAATGGGGGGGCAGGGGGAATAAACAGGCCAGTCACATGCAAGCAGGCTGTTGGTCAGTTCACTTGTCTGACCAAACCCTGCACCTGATGCCCACAATCTGTCCGATATTAAATGGTTGTATTAAGTAATTTTTTCCATGTAACCTCTCTGTCCTACATGTGACTGCTGCAAGTCTTAAGTGTCAAGAAGTGCAGAAGATGCCCAGGTTAAAGGGCAAACAGCTCTAGATGTCAGTGACCGGAGGGACTGGCATGCAAGAGAGGTGCCGGTAACCAAAGGGACTGCAGGCCACAGGGCTCATAGCTCTGTGTCAGCAACTGGAGAAGGGGATGTAGCTCAGAGGTGCCAGCAACTAGAGAGACCGGTCTGCTAGAGAAGTCTGGGTGACAGTAGCTGGGGGAGGGAGCACAGGCCACAGGGCTCGTACGCCTGGGTGCCAGCAACTGGAGGGACTGCAGTGTGTGCTGCAAGGTCTAAGTTCCAGTAACTGGAGAAGGGCTATGGGTGACAGAGCTTGTGGGTCTAGGTGCCAGCAACTGGAGAGATCAGCGTGCAGGAGAGCTCTGGGTACCAGCTCTGACCAGAGTCACAGGGGCCTTAGGTTTATATGCCAGCAGCTGACGAGGACAGGGCATATGTGTAAGAGATCTAAATGCCACTAACTAGAAAGACTTCGGTGTGTTGATATTCCCCCAGTGAATTTAATCCTACATGCTTGTGTTTTATATACATAATTAGCTAGCAAACTTCAATCTGGTCTAGCCAGTGAGTAGGAGGAAACCTGCATCTGGAAAGTCTCAACGTCTCGGTCAGTGGTTAGGTAAGGGGCTCAGGGTCCAGACATGGGTGTAAGACAGACCTAGAAGCTGTGCTTTTATTCGAAGACTGTGAATAGGCATGTGGTTGTGAATCTAGAGACTGAGGATGTATGAGCTTCTGCCAGTGAACTTCAACCCTGGTCAGCCAGCAAGGAGGACCAGGACTGGGCTATCTGTGCTGGTGTTTATGTGAGTGCTGGTAAAGGTGCTGCTCTGTGTGTGGTCATCTGTGTGGCTGGCCTTATCTGTCTGCTCTCTGTATGTGCCTCTCTGGAATACACGTTCAGCCTTGCTGCTGTCCGAACCTGCCCCGAAGAACATGCGTTGGACTGGGTGACAGTGACCTCCTGGGTCTGAGAGTCCTCCATCTGGACTTCAGTGGCAGGGAAGGAGGAATCCCCAGGTCCTGGAGTCTACAGGATTCAGCAGCTACCAGTAACATCAGTAACACTCCCATGTCTCCCAGATGCCTGCTTGCCCTGTAACCAGTGGCTGTATTTTATAATTTATTTATGACCACATAAGCAAGAGCACTATGTGCACAGGGAGATGTAAGGCACAGATGTAGCAATTCTGCTCTTTCCAGGCAGCCATTTCTACATCCCAGCAAAAAGGACAGGTGCTACTGGCTAAATTCACCTGTGCTGGTACTAATACAGTCTCCCCATGAAGGGCAAGAACAAGTAGAGGGGAAACCAGGGAAGAAGAGTGAGCTGGAGTGTGGAAGAGGAGGAAGCTCTTTCTAGATGACTATGAAAGTGGGAAGAATGGACATGAAAAGAGGGAGCAAGGGAGGCCTTGGAAGATGAATAGTAATCATCAAAGATGAGGAGACGGATAAAGGCAATAGGGAAAAGCTGGAAGACTAATAGAAAGAACAGGGGAAACAAAGACAACCAAGTTGTTTTCAGCATATGCACAGCTTGATGTAAATGCAGAACATGCAGCTTTTCTGCTGTTTTCTGGGTGTGCTCCAGTGTCTGCTGACTTGACCTTGTCAGCTATGGCTCCTTCCTTCAAAGGGTCCTGCCTTAGGATGCTGAGGGAGACTCAGCACTCTGGGGCTGCGGGGTTCTTCCAGGGTGCTCCCTGCAGCAGAGGCAGATGAGTACACAGAGAAACGCTCCGGGGAATAAGCTGTACCCTCTGTTGGTTTCTCTGATGACTTCCATCCAGCCAAAGACAAAAGCACCCATTCAATAGAAGAACATAGGGCACCAGAGGACTAATCAAGCTGAATAACTTTAAGAAAGGTCCATTTTAGAAGGAAATAAGAATTTTCCATAGCCTGTGTTAAGATCAAAAAGCACCTCAATTTCTCCCCATTTTCAACATCTTCTGTCTTCTCTGTAGTCTTCCTATGCCCTTTGCCTGTGGTTACATTGAGGGTATTCACAGCGCATGATGATCTTGGCCAGCAGTGGAGGTGACCACATCAGCAGCCTCCCACTGCATCACGCTTTTCCCAGAGATCCTTTTCAATGCCTTTGGCAGGGCAAGAGGGGCACAGGAAAACTGGGGGGGAGGAGGGGCTGGCACTCTCACCTACAACCAGTGCTGAACACAGCACTGTCTCCTGGCCAAATTGCAACTCCATATGTTCTACTCGGCCAACAACGCTGGGGACGGGAGGAGAGAGGTCTCCACAGTCCATGGCAGGCACTTCTTCCAGCCTGTGGGACACAAGAGGTGTTATTGCCTCAAGTGGAGGAAGAGGAGGAAAAACAGGACTTCTCACTGATGGCAGTACTTCTTGGTCTCATCGGGAACAGGCCCACAAGAGGAGGAATCTCCTTCATACAACGTGTCTGGAGGCAGATCCCACAAGCAAAACTATAAGGCCCTGTCCTTTTGGGTTCCTGACCTGCAGTACACACAGACAGAGTGAGATGGCTCTGCCTCCTGGTCTGGGGTCTGCACACAACTTTGCCAGTGCTCCTGGTGCCTTGCCCTGTAGCCCACCCTCTGCATCTCCTCCTAAACAGCCCATGCAAAGCTGCTAATTATTGCTGGGGCTGGGAATCAAGAGTGCCTACGTTCTTGTCACAGGTTTTCTTTTAGCCACCCCTTCTTTGGTACTGTGCAAAGACTTACCCCAGCTGGTTTAAACAGCTCTTGGAGATGAAATTTGGTAGACACCCAGTGTTAACAGTCGCTTTCAATACCTGACCTTGGCACTAGAAGAAACAACAACAGATAATTACTGTGGGCTCAAAATCGGCACACCCACTCCTCCAACAGTGTGACAATCCCTTAGACCTTCATTAGCAACACAGCCAAAGATGTGTTTTAGGCAGTAGTCAGAAGGCAGGAGATTCATCCAAGATGATGGTGGTCTCCCAAGTGCTCTGCAAACCTCTGCCTAAGGCTTCTTCTTGAATTTGTGCTCTTTAGTTTGTATTTGATTGAGCAGACATTTATCTGTTACGAGCGACTAACTTCGCAGTATTCCAGTCAAGTGATGCGTAACTAGTGAATTTGTTCAGAAAACCTGCATGGACATAATTAGCAGAGCAATAATTGATATGACAAAAGCTTCTAAATGAATATAAGCATGTGCTACAGCCTTTGTAGGTTTCCATTCTTCATTTCTTCTGGTGTGACAGGGAACCATGTTCCAGGGCTAGACGTCTGTCCTCAGTTAAGCAGTTTCCAGAGGGAAAAGGCTGTGAGAGAAGCAGGAGCACCCAGGACAAGCATTCCTGAGAACAGCTTGAATTTAGGGCAGTTCCCAAGATAACTGGCACATCCAAGTGACTCTTGAATCCAAGAAACAACCTAATCAAGAGGTGTTTATTTTGTGTGGGGCTTACATTAAGTTCCTAGACAGCTCTGTAAGGAAATATGACATGAACACTACAACTACAGTATTCACAGCTGGTGTCATCTAGCAAAGGGAGAGACTGGATGCCCTGCACCCAAGTCACCTCTGCATGATCTCACTGGAACAATCCCCAGTGCCTTGCCACCTGCATTTCTTCACCTCTGCACTTGACAGGGAACAGGAGATGTGGTTGCTCTCTGTTTTCTGTCCCCTCTGCACAGAGGTCCTTAATGGTAGGCCAGAGGTCCTGAAGTAACAGCCACCCTCATATATGGTAGAGGTCTGAAGAAATAGGGTTGTCAAGGGCAGAAGAGTTATGTTCAAAAAAAGAGGAGGAGCAGGACTTAGTAAAGGAACTGGAAAAGATGGAGTAACTGCCATCTACAAAATATGGATTGCACCCACCTGTAGTGATTAACCATACCCATTCTTGACAACCTAGTTCTTCAAGGCTCTGTTTTGCACCAACACCCAAAAAAACCCAACCTCAAAGTTTCCCTCTTGGGATGCTCATTTTCCTCCTGCTAGCATTTGTACTTTATCTGCGGTTCCTTCTCTTCCATCCACTGTGGCACTCAGTGCCATGAGCTACGCAGAAGCAGCAACAGACTTCCCACAGCTTTTCTACCCTTAGCTCATTTCTGATGAGCTTACATGCGTTGAACACCTTAAGCAGATCAGCACGACCATCAGGGACCAAGTGCAGCACCAGTGGAGTCTCAGTGTCTCGATTTCCTGATGTCTTACATAAACCTGTTTATGATAATTACATGGGTTAATCATCACAGAGAGCTACATCCAGTATTTCCAAGATTTCATTTTCAAAAATGTGCTTTTTGTGAGTTACTGTAAAGAGAAAGGAGAAAACACCTCCTGTGAGAAATGCTGGAATGCTGCAAACAGACACACCACCAACAGTAGCTTGAGTGCTAACTGCACTCACGGCAACCTCAGAGAGCACATGCTGGAAACTTCAAGTCTGTTTTGTTGTAGAGCTCTTCCTCTGGTCTAAATTGCATCTGCAGTACATTAGCGCAGAGAATTTCATCATTCTGAACATTTAGATAGACAATATTCCTAGAATGGCCATTTAGTTGAGAAATTCTCAAGAACTGCAAGACCACTGGAGCTAGAGATCTCAACCTATTTTGTTTTACAGAGTTCACCAAGAACCACGTAAGACCCGTAAATGTATATATGGTGTATATTTAAATAACATCAGTGGTTTTGGAAGGATGAGCATTCACCATGTGTGGCCTTATCCAGGAACAAGGAGATCAGTGCTCAAGCAGTATCTACACAGAAAATCTGCACAGATGCATATTTTCAACAGATCTTAATTTGGTTGTTATACTTTCTCTTCTTTAATGTAAAAAAGCATGTCTTCTTTATAAAGATTAATATCCATTTAATTAACAATCCTGTGTGACTGCAAACACTTGTGACTTCTTACAACACCCAAGTGAGGCATATAATGCTAAATACTTTCGGAAAGGCAAAGCCATGACAGCTCTCACAAGCTTCTAGCTGCGAGCACTGTGCCTTCCCCATTATATCATGTGCTTCTGGTGGTCTCAGCCACACAGCCGTCTACATGCAATCCAAGGCTGCTCCTTGGCACATGGTATGGAAATTGCCACAGAACTACAAAGTCACAGGTTGGGAGAACATAAAATTTAGCTGACCTGATACCAGCTGGAAGATTCATGAGAGTCAGAGCACAGAGCAACCAGCCCCCAGAAGCTCTCTCTGCTGTTCTTCGCACATTCATACAGGAATATTCCCCCGGCTCCTTCACAAATGAGCCATCCCATTTTGTTGCGGAGCAGCTTGAACGGCCATCCCATGGTAATACAGATCACACGTGACCAAGCTGGCAGGAGCTCCAGCTGAAGCTGCTGCCTGTTCCCAGAATGCGCATCCGTTCTCCTGCCCTTCATTCATTCATCTCCTGCCTCTTGGCACAAATCTGCTTTAAGCAAGTGGGGGAGCGTGCTAGATCCTCACAGAAGGGGAAGAGCTGCAAAGCACTCTATTTAGAAGCTCCTGACTTTAGCAATACTTCTGCTTGTTCAGGAGAAAACATTGCCACCATGGCTGCATGCTGCCTGGCATGTCAAGTTTAAGCATTCAGGACTAGGACTAGGAGTGGTGCCTGCCCATAGAGGTCCCCAAGGCCAGCTGGAGAGATCCCACCTTGCCTTGTGACAACAGCTGTTTGTGGCAAAAGCTCGTACTACAAAGCCCAGGCTTCTAGAGGGAAAACAACCTGGAAATTGAGTGGACCCAGAGGACAGTCCCTTATCCCTGCCCACAGCAGGGGGGTTGGAACCAGATGATCTATAACGTCCCTTCCAACCCAAACCATTCTGTGATTCTATGACAAAATGCCTCCCCTTCCTCTTCTAGAGCTCTGAAATGTCTGTGCTGTCTGCTCCTCGCTGACACATCAGCCCGGCCTGGAAGGATTGTGGCCAGACGAAGCAAGAGGCACAGATAAAGCACAAGGTGCAGACACACGCGAAGCATCTCCCTCCTCGTCTGCTATGCTGTGCTTCACAGAAGAGGCTTCCCTGTGCCCCCTCGCTACCTACGCGGGTGTGTTAGCCATGAATGTGAGGTCAGGTACGCTACCACATCTGCCCAGACTGCAACCTGCCAGCTGTCCAGCTGCATCAGCTCTCCCTCCCTCCCGGACGGGGTTCCTTCCTGTGA